TGATGGTGGGTTAGTCATGCTGATGGCTGTAAAACCAAGGGCCAGAGTTTCTGAGAGAGAGCAATAGAGGACAGAGAGGCAGGAGTTTTCAGCTGGTTGTGTCTGAATTCCTAGGGCACATAGTGTCATGAAGAGAGTAAACAGGAGACCTGGGCTATTGCTCTTTGTTGGGGGTTGTATGATGTCAAATTCACTTGTCCCTAAGTGACAGGTGTTTTCATGGGTGCTGCACAAACACATTTGCAGTTGCCTTCAAGCGCTAGTTTTCCCTCCAAAGATGCTTGAAATTCACACTCATCTTCCTTGTGTATAGAGAAGAGGTAGCTACCAGGAAGATCTCAAACCCAGGAAGCTCAGGCAAGAAAGACCCAGAATGAAGGCAGCCGCAGTCACGTCAGAAATGAACAAGCAAAGCTGGGGCCTTTGGGCTCAGCGATGAAGACCTAGAAATGAAGCATGCATCACATCACTAAACAGACTACACAGAACCCACAGAGAGTCAGGCACCCACCTGCAGTAACCGTAGAAATGCCAGTCTTTTTAAGTTGACAAGAACACAGACACTCTGAGGACCTACTATCATGACTCCTAACAGCAGCTGACCCAAAAGAAGGGGTAAGAAATTAGAGTGGGAGGGCTGAGTTCAGTCCAAGTTTTACCCCCTTGCTTCTGTGAGCTTGAGTTCCTGAGCCTCAGTCCCCCCCTTTATGCAACAGCACAGAAACCTCCCAACACTTTGGCTGGACTTAAATGATCACAAAAAGCACTTTATATAACACGGATTTCTGTGAAGACAGTCATTATACTATACTCCAAGCCCATCCACGTTTGCCCTGAAAGAATCAAAGTTACTTTCAGTAATTCCGTTGCTCAGAATTAACATTAAGACAGGCAGTTGAAGAAAATGAAATTTATTCCCCATCTGAAGTAAAAAAGGTAACATCCAAGTTTTAACCCCCAGTTAGGACCTGTGAATGTGATCTTATTTGGAAATAGGATCTTGGCAGATGTTATTACAATCTCAAAATAACACCATCCTGAATTTAGGCTGGACACTAAACCCAATGATTACTGTCCTTCTAAAAGAAAAGACAAGGAACTTTTTTTTCCTTATTTTTTTTCCATTGGTGCATTATAGTTGTACAAAATGGTGGGATCTCTTATTACATATTCACACATGCACACAATATAAGAATAGAATTTGGCCAGTATCATTCCCCAGGACTTCCCCTTTCTCTCCCCTCTTTCCTCCCTCTGGTCCTTTTGCTCTACTCTACTGACTCCATGAAGAAGGCCATGTGAAGATGGAGGCAGAGATTGGAGTGATATCCCTATAAGCCCAGGGAAGCTGGGAGAGAGGTGGGGAGCTCAGACCCTTCAGAAGAAGCAGCCCTGCATCTACCTTGATTTCAGACTTTGATCTTCTAAGCCGTGAGAGAATGGATGGCCGGATGGCAGAGAGTCCAAAGAGACCAATACACCATCCAAGGTGAGAAACCTTGACTAAAGAGATTGCTGAGTCCCCTCAGCTGTTCACTCTGCCTTCCTGTCCTCAAGGACCATGTTCTCCCTTGGCCAGCAAGACTTTCTGAAGCAGCTCCTGGCACACAGCCGCTGAGTTGTATCATCATAGTTTTATAAGGCCGCTCCCCTTCTCAGGTGCTGCAGTGAATTCCATTTGATCCCAAATTATAATTAAACACTTTCTCATGGGCCTAAATATTTAATTCTTAGGGGACACACATGGACAGTCTCATCCCCTGGGTCCATCAAATTTACCTTTGTAATCAACATCACAGTATATGACCGTTGACAAATCAAACCATGACAGATGATAATCTCTTTAGTTTTTTGTTTAGAGCAGAGATTCTCAAACTGTAGGATGCAGCAGAATCACGTAAGAAATGCTGGCTCCCTTCTCTTCACCCCCACCTCCAAGTTGCTGATTCAGTAGGTCTTGGGTGGGGCAAGAGATTCCTCATTTCCAACAATGTGATGTCATTGGTACCACCCAACAACACTCAGAAACAGCAAGAATGGTGATTCTCAAACTCTGCTGTGCGTTAGGGTCACTCCCATGCCAAGGCTGCACCACATACTAGTTAAAGGAGAATTTCTGAGAAAGAGA